TGATGGGCGGGTCGAGATGTGGTCGTGCTGTGGAAGTCGGGAGAAGACGTAGATAGGGAATCGTGGCAATTGGTATCCGTGTGCGACGAGGAGATGAATTCAACGGCGTCAAAGGGCAACGACGTCCCAAATATGATACAAAGACGTTCCTTCCTGGATAAGGTCAGACGGGGGACGGGGACGGGGAGAAGCGAGGCGGACCCCGCGGAGGGTCGGTGCAACGATGGAGATCCCGACCTGCTCTCGTCTTGAGCTACCTACCTGCTACAGCACCCTGACCAGCTTGAGTACCTCCCTATCTACCTACCTAGGTAGGTACCTCCACAGTACTTCCAGGCAGTGCGTAGCTCCCGCTAGCGCAAAGCTTCAGGGTGGAGCTCGGCCTCCCTCTCCTGGCATGTGATGCGGCTCACCCCAGATTTGTGTCTTGCTTCCCTGCAGCCTGCCTATCTAGTTCCGCCAGTACGCGGTTACCAAGGTATGCAAACGTACTGGCCAAACGGATCTATCGGACTGCCTTTAAAGTGTCGTATGTCAACGACTCCGGTTCCTCGTATGCTAGCGCTGCAACCCCACCTCCAGACACCTCAGGCAGTGAAGAAACTGTTTCAAATGGAGCAGGTAAACCCGACGTATGTGCTAGATTTTCCACTATCCTACAGAAGCCTCCTCAACGTCCCCATCACTGAGCCCATCCCTTGCCCTCGCCCGCAATCGTGCTCTCCCGCGCGTCCTGGTACTTCCACCGGCTGGGCTCAAAGATGATCTCAAAGCTATTGTGGTTAAACGTTCCAATGGCGCAGCTCAGATCGTGGTAGCCCTCGAGACCCGTGACCGGCAGGTCCTCCTCAGCATCACCCTCCTCGTGCAAGTTCCAGCTGCCCACAATCTTGCCCTCGCGCGTGAAGAAGATGTCGACGTTGATGCTGCCGTCGCCACGAGGCGACAGTGACATGCCGATACCCACCGTCTCGCCAACACGGAATGGCTCCGTAAACGAGTGACCGCCGGCCCAGTCGTTGACGTACTTGTGGCCGTCATCGCCGTGGACGGCCAGCGACCCGCGGTGCCAACCAGGCATGCGGAAGTTGGGATACGGCAGTGCCGTGAAGCCCAGCGCGAGGTCGACTTCGTCGGGCCGGCTGTCGGGACGGATGTGCACCTCATAGTAGATGCGGACGGGGCGGCCTGTGACCAGTGGCGAGTGTGCGTGCGCCGAGTACAGCGGGGGGTAGCCAATGATGCAGCTGTCCTTGGCCGAGACATCGGTGCGGCCTTCCCACGTGCCCGGGACCGTGGCCGAGGGCGCGAGCGTGCCTCGAAAGTTCTGCGGCTGCATGAGGTTGATGTTGTGCGTACGGAGCGCCTCATGCGCTTGTGGTGGCAGCGGCACAGGCTGGATGAGAGGGTACTGGTCGCACCATGCGGCGCCGGCATGGGCCTCCTGCTCGGAAGCATTGTTCGCCGGCGAGCGCTCAAAGCCGGTGAAGAAGGAGGGAGGGGGAGGGAAGAGCGACGTGTCGGGCACGGCATGCTGCCAGTTGTGTTGGCTCTTGGAGTCGGTAGGGGGAGGACCGGGAGGCGGCGCGTAGTCTCCGCTGGGAGGAGGACCGGGAGGCGGGCCGTAGTTGTCACCTCCTGGGGGCGGGCCGGCCGGAGGACCATAGTTATCGACACCGGGTGGCGGGCCCGGCGGCGGGGCAAAGTCACCGCCAGCAGCAGGTGGTCCTCCGGCGGGCGGTCCTCCGACCGGTAGCGCAAACTGGCCGTGGCCAGGAGGGGGTCCTGCAGGAGGGGCATACGTCTCGTGTGTTCGCGACTCGGGAGGAGCGTAGCTTCCGTCGGGAAGCAGACGTACAGGGCGCTCCGGAGCATCGTGCGTCTCATGACTAGGAGGGGGCCCGGGAGGGGCAGAGAAGCCCGGAGGGGGGCCAGCCGGTGCGTCGTAGTCTTGACCCTGAGGAGGACCCGGAGGCGCTGCGTAGCCGCCATTCACATTGTGGCTCGGAGGAGGCCCGCTCGGGGGCGCGAACTGCTCGTTGTGATCATGGTGAGGCGGCGGAGAGCTTGGCGCGGCATATTGCGCGGGCGGGGGTCCTGAAGGAGGAGCATAGCCGTTACTGCTGGAGGCCTGAGGAGGAGGAGGAGGGCCGACAGGAGGTGCGTATTCGCCATGGCCAGGAGGCGGCCCCGAGGGAGCGGCATAGTGGTCGTGATTGGAGGCCGACGATTCGCCTTGTTGCGGCTGTTGCTGGTTCTGGCTCTCCTTCTCTTGGCGCTTCTTCTCGCTCGACTTGCTGCGGATGCTCGCGGGCCGAGCAATGCGCTGTGAGCCGGCTTGGGAGGCGCGGGGCGAGGAAGCCTGCGCAGGCCCGCGCCGCAGGCGTATCGTCTTTTTCGTCCTTGCCGAAGCACATGGTGGGTGGTCGGAGACAAGGCACGAGGTGAGGTATGTATGTCGGGAAGATGGCGTGCGGCTGGGTGT